CTCTACTCTCGGAGGGTGGGGGGTCTGCAGGGTGCAGCTGAGGGGGCTGCAGCCCCCCTTTTGGTGCTGTTCCCAGCAGGAGGGGAGGGGGCAGCCCAGCCACCTGGGTCCCTTCCCCAGCCCGGCTCACTCGTGTTGGGTGGCCCAGGGGCAGGGGACAGTGATTTCACTCCATCTCAGGGGAGACAGACAGAGTGTAACGGGGGGCCAGGGCATGCTCGTAAAGGGGTTCAGTCCATTGTCACCCACTCCGGGGATGGGCTGCAAGACCCCACATATGCCCCCAGCAGGCATGGGAAGCCCAGGGTCAGGTCAGCTTATCTGGGGGAGTAATGCAGGCTTGGGGTTTGGGGACAGGGACCCCGCTGTGCCAGTGCAGGCTGACCATACTGGTCCTGCTGCCAGTCCACTGACTGCCCACTTGTGTGCTGAGTTCCCCTGTGCTCAGCCCATTGCCTGTGCAATAACTGAGGGGTTCACAAAGCTTTCCTGCGGGGTGTTTCAGCCCCTGCTAAGGCGGAGGGTGCCTAAAAAGAGGGGTTATGGCACAGGGGGGGCAGGAGGACAAAAGCCAGGCATGACCAAGAGCATCCTGCGGGCTCAGCTCCTCTCGACTGGCTGCCTCCAGTGGGGAAAGAGCCCCTTGTCTGCAGGATCAGCTGCTCCACTGCGCTTGTCTGGACAGTGATGGAGGTAAAAAGGGCTTGTGACTCTTGCAAAGTGATGGGGAAAGGAAAGGGGTGCCTGGCTCGAGAACGGCTTCCCAAGAGGAGCGGGAACAAAAGTGTGGAGCAGCCTGTCCAGCCTCCCACCAGCCCCATGACTCCTTGGACCATGGTGGGGTCTGGGCTCTGTCTGCCAGGCTGCCAGGGAAAAAGGATGAAACCTGATGGGTCTGGTGTCAGTATCCCTGTCCCAGCAGAGGATGTTCAGCGTCTTGGGCTGGGAGCTGTTTGAGGAGCCTGGTAGGAGTTGGGGAGCCCCAGGATGGGAAGGATGTGGCTGTGGGGCTGGAGATTAGAGGTGCTGGGCCCCACCCTCCGCTGCACATCACACAGCACTACGCTCAGGCCAAGCCAGCTGGGAACCAGAGGGATGGGAGACACTCCCTGCATTGGTAACACACGTCCTCCCTCCTTGCAGGCCAAGATGGCTCCTCAAATCTAGCCAGGGAGGCCAGAGCAGTGCCGGAGATCCCTGTCCAGGTGATGGTGGGACCAGGACAGAGGAGCTGCTGCAAAGATGTCTGAAGCCAAGACCCTGAGGTTCTCTTGCCTCGTGCTTTCCTTGCTCTCCTTGCACTGGGCTTCGCTCCAGCTGGGCCAGGCTTTTCCCAGCACCTCTGACTACCTCCAGCGAGGCTGGCAGCGGCTGCTGGAGGAAGGGGAGGGCTGTGCCAAGTGCCGTCAGGAGGAGTGCCCGGCGCCGCGCGGGTGCCTGGCTGGCACGGTGCGGGATGCCTGCGACTGCTGCTGGGAGTGTGCCAACCTGGAGGGACAGATCTGTGACCTGGACAACACCAACCACTTCTACGGCAAGTGCGGGGAGCACCTGGAGTGCCGTCTGGATGCCGGAGACCTGCAGCATGGAGAGGTGCCCGAGCCCCAGTGCGTTTGCCTCTCCCACCTGGCTCTCTGTGGCTCCGATGGCAAAACCTATGCCCAGATTTGCAGGTTCCTGGAGGTTGCCCGTGCCCATCCCGACGCCAACCTCACGGTGGCCCATGAGGGGCCCTGCGAGTCAGGTAGTGCCCTGGGAGTGGCTGTGCGGGCAGCGGGACAGAGGTTCGTACGTCTTGGGAAGGGACAAGCGAGGGGGTCTGGCTTAACTATTTCACCTGGCAGCAAATCTACAGCATCCATAGGGACAGGGCAGCTCCAGGGTCTGGGTAAGGGATACCCACCCTCCAGGGTCCCTCTCCCTCAGTCCCCCCAGCTCTGCTGCTCCAGGGCAGCCCCTGCAGATCCGGTGCCTGGGGAGGTCTGGGAGCAGCTTTGCCAAGTGGGAGCAGGGTTTATGGGAAGCAACAAATCCTGCTGGAACAGATATGGAAGTTCCAGGGAATTGTTAGCGAATTCTTGGCGGCAGTGCTGGATTCATGCTGGCCCAGCAATCCCGAGAAATGCAAATGGAAACCTGGGTCTGTTTGACTTGCCTACCCGATTTCCATCTCCTGTTCAAAACCCAGCAGGAGACTGGGGAAACAGGCAGTGGTGGGGAGGCTGTGCCCCAGCCTGCCCAGTCCACACATGTCACCCAGTTCTGTCACCACAGCCCAGGGGGCATCAGGGTTGACTTAATTTTCTGTAGATCATCATGTCCTTGAATTTTTCCCCCAGGTATATTTGGAGGTAGAGGCCTCCCCTTGACCTCTGGTTCATGCTATGGGCCAGATCCTGGAGCAGGTGTCTGTAGGAAGGGTGGTCCTCACTCCATCCCTCTAGGGAAGGGATGTGGGACCTGCAGGTATTGACTCTGTACAGCAGCTGGGGACCTGCTCACTTCCTTAAATCACTGGCACAAGCCTGGTGCCAGAGCAGAGGCCTCGTTTGGCTGGAAGCTCATCTACCTCACTCGTCCCCACCAGCCTCAGGCTGGAAGAGTGCTCCCCGGCCTTTCCCTAGCAGGAGTTGTGTACCCCAATTGCACAGGAGAGCTTTGCATTGTAGTGTTGCTGTTATTGAACTGTTCCTGCTGCCCATGTGTCCCTGAGCATCACTGCGCAGGCAGGGAAAGTGAGGCCAGGAGGGATGGCAACCTCCAGGGGCTGAGGGGGCTGGGGCGGGAGCCCCCAGTCCTGGCTGTGAGGGGGGACCGTGTCCTGGGGCAAGGTGAGGGTCTGCTATGCGTGGGAGTGGAGACAGGCATGGGAAGGGTCCCAGCAGCTCTACGTGAGCCAAATGCTCCCACCACAGGTGGGACTAGCTCAGACCAGCCCAGGAGAGCCCTTTGGACCTCCCAAAGGTGGGACCTCATCTAAGCCCATCCTGCTCTCTTGTGCCCCCTCACTAGAGCCACAGATCACCTCTCCTCCCTACGACACGTGGAATGTCACCGGGCAGGATGTCATTTTTGGCTGTGAGGTCTTCGCCTACCCCATGGCGTCCATCGAGTGGAGGAAGGATGGCATGGAGATGCTGCTGCCTGGAGATGACCCCCACATCTCTGTCCAGGTAAGTGGTGTGCCTGGGACACTGGGTATGCCCCATGGGGTGACCCAGCCTGTTCCAGAGCTTGTGGGCAACCAGACCTGAGGATGGTCATTCTCTGGGGATGGGCAAACCTGGCTGCCTGGGGATGAGAAGGGGTGACAGGAGCCTGCACACCATGAGGACTGTCTGAGCCAGGGCTAATGTTTCAGTGGTAGGAGTTATCAGCATAGCTCTCTTCTGCAGTTTTCTCTAGTAGTTTTTGAACTTAGGAATATTTTTTAGGACCCGCAGAGTCCTGTAGCAGGGAGTTTCCCACCTCTCTGCCTTTAGTTTTCTCTGCCTGCTGGTTTCACTAGCAGCCCCACCCGCAGGGCTGGAGGAAAAGACCTCCTGAGGCCCCTTTGAGCCTGGGTTATCTTATCCCACCAGCAGACTCGGGGCAGTCCCTGCCCTTTTCTGCCCATCACTCCAAGCAAGGGTCCCCTTCCAGAGCTGGCAGGCGCAGGGATCAGCATCCTGCCTGTGGCCAGCCCCAAATATAGTGCCCAGCCGAGTGTACCCAGCTATTAGAGGGTGTGGGCAGAGGTGCAGGGGCCATGCCCTGCAGCCAGGCACTGGTGGGGAGGAAACCGTGCTGGGGTAGATGGGGGAGCCAGGGGAGCAGATGGGACCCAGCACCGTTGTGGGGTGATGTGCTGGTTCCCCTCCATCTTTCTGACCTTCCTGCCACCCCGTAGCCTGTCGCAGGATCTGGCCAAGGACCTTCATCCCAAGCAGGGCTACCCTGCCTGGCTGGAGGAGACTCAGCTGTCCTCCACCCCTGGCCACCGCACCATAATAGCAGCCTGCAAACACAGCTGCAGCCCAGCTGGGTCAGGAAAAGGTTATTTCTTGCTGGGGACAAACAGAAAATAGCAGGGTTGGTGCCAGAGCAGTCCTGGGACCTCCCTGCCTGCCAAAATGGGGGACTTGGAGCTCCTCTGAACCATCCTGGGCTGGCTGTCCCCATGGTACAGATACACCCTTGCTTCTGCCACCTTACAAAACACCGACCCCAGCATCCTCCCGCTGTTTGGGGACTGTGATGACACTGAGGGCACAGCTGCAGTCCAGGGTGCATCTGTAAGGTCCTGCCCAAAGCAGAGCTCCCAGGCCCTCCCAGGAGCAAGAAGATACCCATTCCAGCCACCTCCCTGGGTAGTGGGAAGAGGTGAGACCTGCATCTAGGTGGTCTGCACCTGCCCCCAGTGTGGTGCTTAGGCGGGGATGCAAAGAGTTTTCCTGGGCTTGTATCCTCCTCCCCATCCATCCCAGCTTCATGTGGGGCTTTCCTGGCTTCAGTGCTAACCAAAATCCCCCTGCCTTGCAGTTCAGAGGTGGCCCCCAGAAGTACGAAGTGACAGGCTGGCTCCAGATCCAGGGTGTGCGGGTGACGGATGAAGGCACCTACCGCTGCTTTGCCAGGAACAGAGTCGGGGAGGTGGTGGCATTAGCCAGCCTGACCGTCTTCACACCAGGTGAGCAGTGTGTCCTTGTCCCCATGCTCTCATGGGGACAAAGGAAGGGATGTTTGGGCAGGATGCACTGCTACGGTGGGAGCTGCCAGTGCACTGGGCCGTGCTGGGGATGCCCCAGCACGCTGCTGTGCATGGTTTGGCTTTGGTCCCAGTGGGGCAGGGGACAGGCACTGAGGGGGCAATGTCACATTGTCTCTGTGCTGCCGTTTCAGACCAGCTCAACCTGACAGGCTTTTCCCTGCCGAAGCCCCGCACAACACCTGAGGACTACGGGGAGAGCGAGGAGGACTATTACTAGCCCAGAGATGGGATGTCTGGCTGCAGAGATCACCTTGCCCACAGTGGCCCTTCCCAGGAGTGGGTGACATCTCTGGAGCAAGCACCCCCCAGCCCGGAACTCCTTCTCTGAACACTCCTGGCACTGCAGCCTCTTTTCTGGGGTGGGGGACAGGGTGACACAACCCTTTGCTGGAGGTTGTTTGGGGAAGGGACACTGGCTGGCTGGTGACACAGGGCTGAGACCAGGAGCAGCTCTGCCTGGGGCAGGGAGGGTCTGTCCTCTGGCACCGAGTGGGGATGCGGTGGCAAGTGGGGCACTGCAGGGACAGCCACTCTGTGTGTGACGAGGACCTGGTGCTGGGAGTGGTACCAGCCTCCCCCCCCGGGAGAGGGAAGCCAGGGCAGGGGCGTCTCAGCCCAGTGCAAAGCATTTTGGGGAAGTCGAAGCAGAGGGCTGGGACCTGGCTGTGACACCCAATGTGTCACCCCCATGGCCAATCTGTCACCCCCTTGGCCAATCTGTGTCTCCCAAGGCAGGGACAGCCAGACTTCTCCCCAGGACCATGGAATTTGCTACCACAACATCCTTCTTTCCCAGTTTGTTTTTAAGCAGAAAAGTAGTGATTTGAGGAAACCAGACACCTGTGGTTTTCAATGCTATCTTTGCTCCCCTGGACAACGTTGGCTGAACCACCCATGTGGTCAGAAAGCCTGTGGCCTTTTTTGACCAACTTTGTGTTTTCCCTTCCAAGCAGCTCTTTACTTTGCCATTTCAGTTAATGTTACTTAAAATATACTTGTAGGTCAAAGCCAACACAGACCAGGTGACTCTCCTGTATCCACAAGGATTATTCTGCGGGTGAGGGAGGGTGCAAACATTGTGGCTGCTACCTTGTCTGTTGTGGGTGTGCTTGGGTTGAGGAGCCCTCCTGCCCATCCTGGTGATCACAGCTGGTCCTGGTGTGGGTCCTGCCCCTCTCCCCCCACATGGGGATGCGGATCCCCAGCAGACCATCCCCTGTGCAGTGGGGATGCATAAGGCTGGCTCTTTGCACCCCCATCAGTTTGGATCTCATCCTACTTCTGCCCATCCTCAGCCCAGGGTCCTATGCCCCATGGCACCGGGGTCTCCGCTCAGGTGACCACAGCCCTGCCAGCATGGAGTGGGCAGAGCAGCTCTGTGCCTGGCTGGGGAAGGACAGGGAGGCTCCTTTTTCCATTGGAAAGGCTCAATTTTTTTTAAGAAAACCCACCTGCCTTCCAGAGCTGGAGATTTAGAGCAAATTGTCATTTTGGGGGAGGGTGGGAAGGAAGCCCAGAGCTACACTGTGCTGCTCCATGCCCAGAGAGAGCTGGTAGGACCCCTTCCCACGGGCATCCTGGGGCTGAGCTCACACTCAAGGGGGGCTTTGCCACCCCCGAACCAGCAGCATTTACATGGCTTTTGAGACTTGAAACCTCCCCGTGGACCAAACCACTTCTGGTTACTCAGTCCCAGCTCCAGGGAGGTCCAGAGCTGCGGCAGGGAGCCAGACCCCGGGAGCAAGGAGTTGGCCTGTCCCCAGGCAGGAGCAGGCAGGATGTGACGAGGCTGGTGGCTCAGGTGCCGTGCTGCTCTCCTTTCCTTGTTTTTTCTTTTCCTTTCTTCCTCTTTCTCTTGAGAGCTGGCTCAGACAATGCAATTACGGCATCGAAACCTGAACAAGCAAATAAAAGGGATTTGTCTGGGGTTGGCAGTGGAGAAAAATTCCTGCAGCCAGTGAGGCTGGGCCAGGTCCGGCCCCTGCACTGCAGCCTGACAGGGCACAGCCGGCAGTGCTGGCTGGCGTGCCCGCTGCCTGCCTGCTGGGCTGCCTGCCTGCCTGCTGGGCTGCCTGTTCTCTCTGGCATCAAACCCCTTCTCAGCTGGGGAAATGCAAAAACCACCTGTGCCTCAGTTTCTCCTTCCACCTAACAGCACAATAGCATCCTCCTGAGGCTGCTACATCAGAGTTAGAGAACGTTCAGTAGGGACCAGGGACAGATAAAAAGCCATTGGCTTTTATTTTGCTTTTTTTGGGTGCAAAACTTGCTTTTGGAGAAGCCAAAGTGTTTTCATTCATCCTGATCCCCTCCCTGTTTCGCACACAAATCAGATGGTGGAACTGGGCCATGTTCAGGGTGAGGCTGCCGTGGGGAAACCTGAGAGCATCCCAGCACTTCGGCAGGCGTGAGCTGCTCGCAGGGCTCCCTGCCGGTGCCCGGGGCTGGCCCCCAGCCAGAGCTGCCATGCCAACCCTCCCCAGGGCCAGGTTCCCCCCACCTGAACCGGCACAAATGCAGGTCATGCTGGATGTAGGTGCAGTGTTGGACTGGCTGGGAGGGGGTTGCATGGGTCAGACCCCCATCCCTGACTCTCTGTGTGCTCCGTGGGGTGATGCCTTGCCTGGGCATGGGTGGCATCTGCATTTTGGCCTCAGTCCTTGCCACCCTCAGCTCTGCACCTGGTCCCTGTGGTACCCTCCAGGTACCTGGCAGAGGATGGTGTCAGCTCCGGCTCCTGCCCTGCAGGGAGGGCAGCAGGGACATGGTGGCTGAGAGAGAGAGGAGCTTAAGCAAGAGCCCTTGGCCAAAATTAACCAAACTGGGGGCTGAATCTCCCAGTTTCCCCAGGTCCCAGTGAGGGAAAGGGCTGTCTGCCTCACAGGCTGGCAGCTCAGTCGATACTGGGGCTCCCCAGGGGTATGGAGGGGGTTGATGTCCCCCTGCCCTGGCTCCCAGCCTTGCCATTTCCAGCCACTTAAAAATTAAAGGAGTCGATATTGCTGCATGGCTGGAATCGGTCACTGCCACAGAGCTTAATTTGGGTTATTTGTTGGCTCTAAAAATATTTGGTCAGTTCTGCTGATGGCTGCTCAGATGCTTCCCACAGCCCCCGCCCTGAGGAGAGGGTCTCCCCGGGCTCTGACAGTGGCAGATGCTTTGCTTGGCTCCGGCCCTCTGAAGGGTCCTGGGGACCTGGCCAAATGTGCTGTTAGTGTGGGGACAGAGAGTGTGCCCCAACAGTGTGCAGCACTGAATCCCTTTGCTGGCTGGGTTTTGGGCGGTTGCTTTCTGGGGGTGGTGGAGGTGGAGGGGGCGGGGGGCCACCCAGCTGCCTGTGCTCAGAGCAGCAGCTTGACCCAGATGTTGGGCTGATGTCACGGACAGGGTCAGCTGGACTGGGAAATGCTAACGTGGCCACTGGCCCTGGGCATACACTGGCCCCAGCACCTCCCAGCGGCCCAGGGTGAGCAGGGTGCAGGTACCTCTCCAGGCACTGAAGGTCACCGCAAGGCTGAGAACAAAGAAAGGGGGGCTCATCCTGTTGGCACCTGAAAGACCCTGAAGACACACACTAATGGAGCTGAAACCATGTGGTTAAAAACCCACTGGACCCCAGTCTCTGCAGAGACACGCACAGGACTGGCACTGCCCTGCCACCATCAAGCATTTCAGCTACCCCTTTTGTGTACTCCCAGCTCTGGGTGCTAGGGGGGAAATACAGATAAAAACCCTCCAAAGCAGCTGCTTTCTGCCCCAAACCTGTGGTTCATGTTGCACTTAGCCCCTGCTGCAGGCTGCTAACAGGACCTCATCTCTTCCCACTGCTCCAGCCTCCCATGCAGGGACGACATCCATGTCCCCAGATGTCTCCCAGAACCACTGTGGGCCAGGAGGCCACTGAGGTGGTTGGTGGCTGACCCAGTGGTGAAACCAGGGTGCCCTGCTTCCAGAACAGCCGACCTGACACCCGCGGTGCCTCCCCCATCCTTGCATCCCCCGTGCTGCCCAGAG